CCCCAAAACCCCAAAACCCCAAAACCCCAAAACCCCAAAACCCCAAAACCCCAAAACCCCTGCGAAAGTGAAAACATTGAACAAAAATTAGATTTTTTGGAAAATTACAATTTTGAAGTGTTTTTGAAATTTTTGAAATTTTTTAAGTGGAAATTTTAAGTTGAGAAGGCTGTGAAAAAGGAGGGGTCTTGAAGGGAAATTTTTGGATTTTTAATTGGTAAATTGGTGAGGTGGTGGAGGAAAAAGTAGGATTTTAGAGAGGTGAAGGAAGGTTTTGGGGAATATGAGTAAAATTTATGGGAGCGGTGTGGATTAGGTTTTAGAATTATGAATTTTTGATGCCTGAGAGGAAGTGTAGGAAAAGGGTTATTTGATTCATGGATTATTTTATCGTGTATGTTGATAATAAACCTTGATCTGAGAGTTATTGCAGAATTAATACCAATTTTGAGGCACTATTGGAGTATGTTATTCTATTAATCTTTCCTTAAATTTATTAGCCTATTTTCTGCTGATTTCTTCCCGAGAATTTGTGATCACCTGAATTATTGGTGATAGAGGAATCAAAAACTTTTCAAATGTAAAATAAGATTTTTAGATAAAATTTTAATCTTCACTAAGAGTTTTTTGCAAAATCTAGTCTTACTATATGCCCTTATTTAAATTTTTTTTCATCTTGTATATATTTCATTAGTTCCAACGAGTAGCATGTAAGAAAATTTACACCAAAATGTCCCTTTAAGGGCCTCCCCATAAAACTATACGAAAGAGTGCTAGGTTTTATGATCCTTCTTAGATATTATGATATAATACAGGTACTTATAGAAGGCATCAGGATTGCACTCCTAAGTTAGGCAAAATTCGGTTAACCATATTAAATTATTTACTAATTACTTTTTTTGAATCAAGCAAGTTTTTACGACTACTTTTGTATAGTTTAAATAGCGTGCTCTGCTTAATCTTCTGAGAAGAGCAGGGGAAATTGATGAAAATAGAGGAAAATTATTGAGAAATCGAGCAATCAATAGTCTCATTACAACAGAAATTCTATCGGAGGCAGACTAGTCTCTATTTCTAGCAGTTGGCCTCTCTAAACTCTACGATATAAGGTTTACAGTTTGTTTTACATCTTTTAAATATCAAAGGATGTTCTAGGGGGTTGGAATGCTCTATAGATATATTTTTCCATGAAGAAAAGTAATTAAAATCCTTTCATATAATAATTGAGTGATTCCCAGTTTTATTCACAAATTAGTTATAGAAAATCTTGGTGTTCTCAAAATTTTTGGAATGTCCATGGGAAGCTATATAATAAGCTTATTTTAGCAAAATCAGTAAGTTTGTGAAATCTCATCTTTGGGATGTCAATCAACATCTGCAAAAACATTAGGGAATCTTTTAGGGCAAGGTGTCCTTGATCTAGACTTTATTTCATAAAACCCTGACGACCCTGTAACTGAAGCGATGTAGTAAAATGTGTTTGAGAAAATTACAACTGAACACTCTCAATGTATGCTTGATTATACAGCTCAATGGAAATAGCAGGTTCTTAGCTAAACAGATACTTTGATGGTCTCTGCCTAGACTTTAACAAAAAACCGGATTTAAGATAATTTCCCTAAGAGATGATCAGGAGACCTCGTAAACCAAACTTTTATGAATGAAATCTCTGTATCTCAATATCAGCATAATTGATCGTCGGCTTCACCAATTCATCATGAGTCATAGTCAGTATAAAATTTAGGAAGGTTATATTGGAGCATACTGTGATATTTGTACCTTCTGTTTAAATAAAATGGTATCCCAGATGTTATCAATACCAATATTTCCACAATAATACAACCTCAAGGTCGAAGAGTAGAAGCTCTGTTCTATGACCCGAGTTTGTTCCTATCATTGGCTAGAAAGAGGACTCCCGAAAAGTAAGGTGACGTAAAAAGTGTTCAAACTTGGTGAATCTTAGTAAAAGGATTATGATTAATTAATAATATAACCAGGAAGCGAACGTTCCTAGTTTTAAAGTATAATTTGTAACTCAAATGCTTGTGGTAAGCTTATCTGGAAGATTCCTTCTTTATTCAGAAACTGAGAGATAGATCCCTCAGTTATGGAGTCTGAGCAGCTCCTTGGTTTGACAAAGAGATATTCAATTTCGTTGCCACAATTTTTAGGAGCAGCGCTTTTTGGTTCAGGAGAAGAGGTTTTAGAATACTGGTTCTTCATATCTCTGATTAACAAGGAAGGGTTTGATTTAGAAGCTTGGCTAAGATTTGTGGTATCTATCTTGAGTGTATTCAGCTTCCTTCTTCTCCTCCTATACGATACTGATAAGAATAGGTTAGGGGGCAACAAGCTTTTACAGATTTATCGGTTCGAACTACTAAAATTTGCAACAGAATTTCGAAGAAATATTTCTCCAAAAACTAGGAGTAAGATTAGTATTTCCTATTACTGAAAATCCTTTGAATCATCTAATTACTTACTTTAGAAGAGAGTTCTGGGAGCTATCACCAGCCTTGATCAAGTCTGGAAGTCTGGAATTAGGCATGGAGCCATTTTTCTCCAGCTTTGCCTTGTGGGGTTTTAGGGAGATTTCTCTCATATTTCTTTTGTTGAAGTCCATGTTAGGTTTAAAATATTATTAAGACTAGTTTCACCTCTTTAAATTATGTACGGGGTTTTGGGGTTTTGGGGTTTTGGGG